TCGGGGGTCTGGGAGAAGGCTCCCGCGGACCCGTCGTTCTCCCCGGCATGGGATGGGCGAGCCCTGCGAGCGCGGTGCCTGCTCGCCAGCCGCCGGCATGAAAGAAGGAGCGGACTGGGAGTCGTGGGACGCGCCGCTGGGTTTTCTGGAGGGCTCCCAGATGGGCAACAGGAGCAACGTGTCCTTCCTGCAGCTCTTTAAGAACATCAACCTGGAGCGATCCGACGGGATGCAGGGGGACAGCTCCGACGTGGTGCGGATTGTCATCTCCCTGGTGTACTCCGTGGTGTGTGCCCTGGGGCTGGTAGGCAACCTGCTGGTGCTCTACCTGATGAAAAGCAAACAAGGCTGGAGAAAGTCCTCCATCAACCTCTTTGTGACCAGCCTGGCAGTGACTGACTTCCAGTTTGTGCTGACCTTGCCCTTCTGGGCGGTGGAGAATGCGCTGGACTTCAACTGGCTCTTCGGCAAGGCGATGTGTAAGATTGTCTCATATGTTACAGCCATGAATATGTATGCCAGTGTCTTCTTTCTCACTGCCATGAGTGTGGCTCGATACCGCTCTGTGGCTTCAGCCTTGAAAAATCAGCGGCGAGGTCACCCGCTGGGTGGCTGCTGCTCTGCCAAGTGGCTTTGTGCACTCATCTGGCTGTCAGCTATCCTGGCTTCCCTGCCTCATGCCATTTTTTCCACCACTGCCACCGTCTTTGATGATGTGCTCTGCCTTGTCAAGTTCCCCGAGGGCCGAGGCAGCAATGCTCAGTTCTGGCTGGGTCTGTACCACATCCAGAAGGTGCTGCTGGGCTTCGTGGTGCCACTGGTCATCATCAGCCTCTGCTACTTGCTCCTAGTACGGTTCATCAGTGACAAGCATTTTGGCAGCACCTGCAGTGGCCCCAGTATCAAGCGCCGCTCCAAAGTGACTAAGTCAGTGTCCATCGTGGTGCTGTCTTTCTTCTTGTGCTGGCTGCCTAACCAAGCGCTCACAACATGGGGCATCCTCATCAAACTGAATGTGGTACACTTCAGTACTGAGTACTTCCTCTCCCAAGTGTACCTTTTCCCCATCAGCGTGTGCCTGGCACACTCCAACAGCTGCCTCAATCCCATTCTCTACTGCCTCATGCGTAGGGAGTTTCGCAAGGCACTGAAGAGCCTCCTCTGGAGGATCACCTCACCTTCCCTCACCACCATGCGCCCTTTCACCGACACCACCAAGCCCGAGCAGGAGGAGCAGGCCCTGCACACCTTGGTGCCTGTCCACCCTGTCGCTGCTTCTTCCCCTGCTGCAACCGTCCAGCCGGAGGTGGCCTACTACCCCCCTGGGGTGGTGATGTACAGCAGCCGCTATGACCTGCTGCCCGCTAGCTCCACGGAGCAGCGCTGCTGAGATGGGCAGGGGGCTCTGGGGGGTGGGACTGTGGGGTCTGTGCAAGATGTGGCCCTGGTATATTGAATCCCTGGTAGAGACAAGGGGAGAAGGGATGGCTGGAGGAGGGATGGGTAAAGGAGGGTTTCTGTATGAGAGATGCTCTTTTGGGGTTGTATCTGCTCTTGGAAGCTTGTTGATGGAAATTACTGTCTTGAAAATGTCGCCCAGGTTGGAGAACAAGAGGAGGAGGAGGAGGCAGTGGTGGAGCACTGGGGATTGGGGTGTCTCTATGAGATGCTTTTTAGTGCTAGCACCTGTTCTGGGGAAGAGGAACTGGGGAGGGTGATGGACTCCATCCAGGGAGGCTGCAGGATGTTCAGGGAACCATAAGAAGGAGAGGGGCTGGATGGGGTGGAGCGAGGCTGGGAGGCCTCAGCTGTGTCCCCCCAACCTGGAGCTGCAAGCAGCAAGGGACCAGCAGCTCTCCCACCCCCGTGCGTGTTTGTGGCAGGGGGAGGGAGCTGAGCTGCTTTCTCACTGCTGCATGGTGATGTACGTGATGCCAGCTGGGCTGTGGTCACTGCTCCCCGGGCTCCAGGGAGGGCACAGGAATCGGGCAGCCTGTGTCCTATTTCGTACCTGTCCTGATGGGAACAGCCAGGAGAAGTGGGTACAAGGCTCCTGCTTGTTCAGTCTTGGCCCTTTTCCCCTCTCTCAGGGAGCCAGGAAAGAGAGGGGACAAGGAGCACTGTGCTCCTCTATGGATCAGTGTAGGATCTGCTTTTGCAGCTACCCCCATCCCCTCTGCTGCTGCCAGGATACAGAGCAACCAGACAGCCAAGGAGAAACCCAAGGACTGGACTCACAGCTTGACGGAGAGGTGTTGCTTTGCCTGGCTTTGGAGGGGAGGGTGTGAGCCCCTCGACAACATGTTGCCAAGCCTCTCTCCAGGCTGCCTGGGGGGCCAACCCACAGCCCCAAGACACGTGCGGCAAGGCAGGCATCTCTCCCAAGGCACTGAGGCTGCAGGCTTTGTTCTCGCTGTGCTTCAGACTGTTTGTATTTCACTCCAGGAAATCAGCACAACTGTAAATAAAAAAAGGGGAAAAAGAAACAAATCATAGCCACTTCAAGCTGCTTGCTCTGGGATACTTCTAAAACCAAACACAAAGGTTTTTGTTCTGCAAAAGTGTTTGTTAAGGGTCTGCACTGATACTTGCCAGTGTTTCAATTAACTCCAGTTCAATTCCTCTGGTGTGAGCAGCCCTAGAGGCTGCAGTTCAGTGCTTTCACACCTTGGAGAAGGGCAGGGACAATGCCTGTCCCAGCCTGTGTTCCAGAGAAACATCTGGGAAATAATTTGATGTTGATCTGATATGAACTTTTAAGGGCATGAAAAAAGTGTAATTTTAATCTGTGAAACTTTTTATGGTAAGTTTATATATTTACTTTTTTTTTTTAATTATGAGGAAAAAATTAAATTGAAAGGTCAAAAAATTTCTTTTAGAAGTGCAGCAGATCTGGTTTTGCTGTCAAAATGCAAGTTCATTAATCCCCAATACTGCATATGGGATGAATATATAAATACAATATTCAAAACCTCTCTCTATTTCCAGCCCCTTCCCCTGCAGCCTAACTTAAACATCTTCCCGACTCTACTAAAAAAGCATTTCTGTAGTGGGTTTTTTGTCACCCTTAAATACTGATGTGGAGCAAACTTCCTATTTCTGTCCAGAGAAAATTGCAGGGCTGTTAGTGGCAATTATGCTTTGCAGACTCTGTTAGGTTTACTGTGCATGTCGGTAATTCCTGTTGTAAAATTCAGGTTTGGTCTGGAAGCAGCTGGTTCTGCTACTTGCAAGGAGAAGCTCTTGTTCTCTCTTTTTCAAGGCAGAAGAGATGTGGGAAGTTGCTGACTGGGAAGATACAGGTGCCTGGAGACAAGCAGCAGAAGTGAGCTGGCAGCTGGTGGACATCCTTATGCAGATGCAAAGACTCTGAAGAAATCAGATATATCCATAGAAGAACTTGAGCATCGAAGTACTGTACAAGTGCCCCCGCTAAGTTCCTAAATCGTGACTTGGCTGCCAGTTGAAGTCTGTAGGTACTTAAAGTTTTTTCTAGTAAAAGTTTTTGTGCCTAGAGGTCTGCTCCTGAGCATGCCTAAATCTGCTTGTCTGTAGCACTTATCTCTGTGCTTCATGGGGATCTCTCAGTCAGGACTGGCCGCAGTGTGTATCCTAAGTGAGGGAGGCAGCTCTGCATCCCAACACAGAACACCCTGTGCCAGGCCAACTAAGTTAGGACTTAACTTAATCTTAACTTATTCCCCCCCATCCCTTTGCATCTATGTCTAGATGTGCTTCCTCTGTTCCACCTTCAATGCATGTGCAGATTATGCTCCTTCCTCTTCCCTTCTGAAACACTAAATAAGTGGGCAGAGCTTTCAGCTACAGCCTAGGAAACTCAGCTTCCCCCCTTTCACATCTCTGGGCTACTCTGTAAATGTGCTCAAATCCTCTGGCTTGAAACAATTCCTTGTTGCATGAGTTGCTTCACCATTGCTGAATCATAAAGGGAAAGCAAGCCCTTGAACACTGCTTTACAGCATAGTGGTCAGGGTGTGAGCTCCAAAGAGCAAGTGCCAAGATTTTTTTCCTTGTAAATACAAAAGAGAAATCAGATCCAGGTCCGGATTCTAGGTCTCCCCTCTCCGAGAACAACAATTACCTTGCTCCCAGCTCCCCATTCAATTAAAGTTTCAGTATGCCATGCAAGAGCCTGAGAGTATTCTAGACTTACAAATCTAGCACCTTAATCTGTCAAAGGATTTGCAGGAAATGCATTTGAGTCTCATGTGTTCTAGGAGGAAGCCCTAAGGCCTGCGTTAGCTGATGAAGAAAGCTACACTGTTGTGTGAGAAAAGGATACCATGAACACTTAACTCAGGGAGAGTTAAGAGCTCAGAGAGATCTAACTGTGTCTCTACAGGCCAGGAGCAAGTACCTAAATTAAGAAGAGGAGATGAATCTCAAAGCCAGACTCTCTTCCTAGTGTTTGCTTTTGAACAGCATAGATTCTTGCCTGGCTTGCTGGAATTTTAATCCCTATCCTGATGCTGAAATGTTCTTGTGCATTATATAGAAAGCTATCCAGGTGTCTAAAGCATAACTATGAATTTAATAAATAAAATTGCCTAAAAGACATCCTCTCTGTTGCTCAGCATGACAAAACCCATGTGCTTTTGTGGATGCCAATGTAGACATAATTTTATGCCAGCAAAACAACATAGTAAAATAAATGATGTTCAGAACAACCCATAGTTAGCCCAGAATACAAGCAAGATACAATGCTCAGAGGAAGCCCCTGGTGTCTGACCACTAAAGATGTAAAAACCTTACATTTGGCAAGTCACAGGAATGGGAAAATACCTGGGGTGTGTAGGGACTGGACTGTGGACTTAGAGGGCAGCTCTCTTTTAAGCCACTGATCCACCAGTGTAAGTCATCAATCTGCTGTTCGAAGGGGGCATGCCCACCCACAGTTGGCTAAATGTTGCTTTGGGCCAGACTGGATCAACATGTGTCCAGCATGGCCAAAGAGCTCTGCTCTAGCTGTGCATGGGCCGAGAGAAATTTTTCTTCACGTGTGCTGTGATGCCAACCAGCAGCGCATGAAGTCTGGGCCGGGTGACTGCATGGGCAGGAGCACCAGCCCGGGCATTGCAAGGAAGGGCAGTTGCTCTGAGTATGCACACAGCATCAAGCCTGTGGCCTGAGCAGAAGCTCCATCTTTGAGACCACACGTTAACAACAAATCCTGCTGAGTGTCTGGGGGTTTCCTAAGCATCAGGACAACACTCTTCAAAATCACTCCTGTTTCCTCTGAATGTTCATGTCTTCATTTGTAAACAATCGTTTTGTCATGGGCTAAAATAAACACAGCTGAAGGATACAAAAAAATACTTACGGAGTTCTTTAAGAGATTTTTGTGACTGACCTCCTCCTGTTGGAGATTCCTGGTGGGGTGCTGGTGGAGAGGTGCACATTGCCACAGAACAGTAGTGACTCGATGGTGCAGGCTGACATCTAGTGACAAAATGAAATAACCTCTAAAGCGCAGATATTCTCATTAGGCACTGACTGTGCTCGTCTAAGGACTTTAAAATACCTCTTCCCTGAAATAACTAACCGAACTCTTAATGTAATAGCAACCTCCAACTGCATTTCCAGGTTTCCCTTTGAAATGCCTCTTCAGTAGCAATACGGCTTCACTTCCTCTGAGTTATTTTGGTACTCAATTCAGCAGTAAAAAAAATCCGTTCCCCTTCATTCCCGTTCCTGACTGTCTGCTTTAAAACTTGATTATTCAATTGAGTGCCTGTGCAGAAGCTCTGATCTAATCAGTATCCCTGAGCTTGGGCAGGCATAGGTATGGGTGCAGTGCAGCTCAAGGACGTTAGATTGGGAGCTCGGATCTCCAATTTTTTCTCTCAAAAGAGAGATTCCAATTAATCCATTCAGAAAGGGTTGTTGAAAATATCTTTTTGTCATGACTAAGCAGTTATAAGAATCTCCTCCAGGTACATTCTCAGCATCAGTCAGTGAAGCAGCGGTTGAGACAAAGTCTGCAAGAAGAGGCTGGGAAGCCAGCTAACTAATTCTTTTTTAACCAGTACAAGCTAGGGGCTGATCCAGCAGCTTTGCAATGACCTGGGGATCCTGGTGGATGTGTTGAACGTGAGCCAGCAATGTGCCCTTGCAGCAAAAGCAGCCAACAGCATCCTGGGCTGCATTAGGCAGAGCACTGCTAGCAGATCAAGGGAGGTGATCTTTCCCCTCTGCTCGGCCTGGTGAGACACATCTGAGTGCTGGGTTCAGTTCTGAGCTCCCCAGTATACGAGAGATGAACTTACTGGAGATGCTTCAGTATGATAATAGAATCATAGTGTAGTTTGTGTTGGAAGGGACCTTTAAAGGTCATCTAGTTCAACCCCTCTGCAATGAGCAGGGACATCT